AGGTGTGGAGGGGGCAAGGATTGGGGGGAGATGGGGGAGTACACGCAGAGGAGGAGGAGCAAGAGGACTAGGAGGGGAAGCTAACGAGGACGAAGAGGAGGAGGAGCAAGAGGACTAGGAGGGGAAGCTAACGAGGACGAAGAGGAGGAGGAGGAACCTGCTCTCGGATTTCTCCCACTTCGACTTGAGTAGCTCGATCAACCGACGGCGATGGGCATCTTGAGTTGGATTCTTCTTTGCGATCTTCAGGATTCTTGGATCTGATATAATGAAGTTATATCATGATGACATCATTGATAATAACGATGATGTTGAAGAGGAGGAGCAGGAGCTGCGGGAGATTGAGGAGGAGGAGAGTGAGGAGATTGAGGAGAGCAACGACAGGTGTAGCAGCAGGTCAAGGAGGAGCAGCAGGAGCAGGAGCAAGAGGACAAGGAGGACGAGCAGGAGGACGAGCAGGAGGAGGAGGAGGAGGAGGAGGAGGAAGAGCAGACGGAAGGAGACGGGAATGATGAGCTACAACTTGGGATATTTCTTCTTGGGCATCGGCAACTTCTTGTCTGATGGTTTCCCTTCTCGTCTCTGCCATCATCCTTGGCCATCGCAGACTCGTAGCTCTTCTTGGAAGCTGCTGTTTCTTTGGATTGGATCGGAGAAGAATGCGAAGAAGACTTGTTTCTGAAGTCAAACACGTCCCGTTCCTGGAAGTAACGAGTCACGTATTGACATGTGCAGGAGAGTTTGAGAGTTTGAAGGAGAGTTTGTAAGACTTACCTTTGATCCGTTGCTGTTCTTCACGTTTGCATTGCAGGACCCATCCAACAAGAAATCCTGAGGAGAGGATGGTCAAGGAGGTGTAAAGATCAAGAAACGAGTCCTTACCATTGACATCGGATTTTTGTTTGCAGCCTGAACGTCATGCTCCGATTTAATGTTGGCCCACTGTGATGGAAATGAATAAAGAAGGAGAAAGGTTTGCAGATGATTGGAGAAAGCATACAACAGGCAATAAACAACGACAACAAACACAGAAAGTGCAAGACACTTTCGAAGCGTTGCAAACAGCAAACAGCAATACTTCATTCCTCACCAGCTTTGGCGCTGTGGCCAGGACAGGAGAGTGTTGAGACGGAGAGTCCCTTGACTTCGGCTAAAGATGAAAGAATTCAGTACAGAGAACAAAATACACTTTCACCTCTATCACCTTCTTCGCATTCTTTTCATTGCCCACCTGAAATGGCACCGAGAAAATTTGAAATTAAGGAGGAGGATACAAAGAAGAAGCAGGCACCTTAGATCGCTGCATGAATGCTGCTGAGGTTAAGAGACCGTCGTCCGTCTGCATGAAACAGATGAGAAGAAAAGACAAGACAAGAAAAGACAAGACAAGACAAGACAAGACAAGAACGTGAAATGAAGAAGAGAAGGAGCGAAGAGAAACAAAAGGAAGGAAGGAGAAGAGGTAGGCGGAGGAGAGGAGTAGATGAGGGTGCGAGGGAGCAGCAAATGGAGAGATCAGTTGCAGCGGGAAGAGGGAAGGCAAGGCAAGAGGGAGAGAAAAATCGAACAAAAGGATTTTTCGGTAAGGTAGAGGAGTACGAGAACAAGTTTTGAGGGCACGCACCAGCACCAGGCTCTCGTCCCTCCCTCTCTTCTTGAATTGATCGGAAAAACTTTGGCTCTGCGAGATAGGAAAACGTTAAAAGCAGGAGAGCAGCCAGCGAACAAAAGGACGAGGGAAGAAGAGGACGAGAGGAAGAGGAGGGAGAGGGGGAGGGGGAGGGAGTCGGAGAGGGAGAGGGAGAGGGAGAGGGAGAGGGAGAGGGAGAGGGAGAAGAGGAGGGGGAGGAGGAGGGGGAGGAGGAGGAGACAGGGTAAACATCTCACATCATCGATCACTATCCCAGCTGCGGTATGCTTCATACCCAACGCATTCTGCAACTTCTTGTCTTGCCCTCCTCCCGAGGCCGATGGGTGCTGAGATGGTATCGGGTACTTGATGTGCTGAGAAGACCCCGGCACCTTCTGCTGCGATTGTTGCTGAAAACTGCTCAGACCTTTTGAGGCTTGTCCAAGGGGGTGGGAGGAGATGGCGGAAGCTGCTGAGGTTGTTGACTTGCTGAGATTGCTTCCTGCTGTTGTCTTGCTGGGCTGATTCTGGGAGGTCAGGTGGAGGATGGACATGGCAGAACTCGTAGCCACTTTCTGCTGACCCGGCGCTGCCGGCGTTTTGCTCTGACCGCCAAGTTGCATGTGCGGTGGAGGCGGTTTGGAGGTGACAGGTTTGGAGGTTTTGGAGGGAGGAGCTGGCCGATGATGTTGGGACCTTAGTCTGTGATGACGGGGGGGTAGGCTTGGCTTGAGATTGAGCCTGAGGAGAAAGGAGAGGAGAGGAGAGGGGGAGGAGGGGGAGGGGAGGGGAGAGGCCAAGAGAGGACAGGACAGGACAGGACAGGACAGGACAGGACAGGACAGGACAGGACAGGACAGGACAGGAGGAGCTCTGTTATTTTTGTTGTACATGTGGATGCAAGAAGAAGGGTACCGATTGAAGCTGTTGGATCTGTTCAAGTTGTTGTTGCAGTTGCAGAATTTGTTGCAGTTGCTGCCAAGAGCATGAGCAAGTGCGAGGAGAAGGATAAACATACCTGTTGTTGTTGAATCTGCTGTTTGAGTTGTTGAAGCTGATGCTTTGTGTCAGACCGACGAATATTGTAATTACAATGGAGGGAAAAAGAAGGAAAACAAACAAGGAAGAAAGAAAAACCTGTTGCAAAGGTGCCTAAAACAGATGTCAGAATGTCATCCATCGATGATTTTCTTGCAAACAAAAGGAGCAAAATTGCAAAGAAAGCAGAAGCAAGGAGGAATAGAGGAAAAGGAAGTTGAGGAGCAGCAAGAGAAGCAAGGGAGGAGGACAGGACGCGTTCAGTAAGAAGAGGCGAGGAGGAGAGGAGCAGTAACAACATCACCTGTCCTGCTAGAGCTCCTTGAAGCGCTGGAAGCAATGCGATCGCAGCGGCTGGGTTAGATTGTAGAGATTGCTGCTGATGCTAGAAGGTAACAAGCATCAGCTTTCCAGCTCGATCGAGAAAGACAGGAGTTATCGCAACCTGAAGTTGCAGGACAGACTGCAAGTCAATCAAGTTGTTGACACTCTGCGATTTCGGAGCTTGCGCACTGGGCGACGTCTTGGCTAATTGTGCACGAATCTGTTTGTAGATGTGAGTTTTTCCTCTCTTGCGATGATTGCAAGTCACAAAAATGAGAACAATATAGACCTGATGGTCCAGCCAGCTACCAGACATGCCGAGTGCAGCATACATGTCATTGAGGTTAAGCTGAAAACCAAGCATCAAAGGGATTGACATCAAATTCTCATATTGTTGGCAGAAGTTGACCTGCTTCTGATTGGGTGACTTCTGAAGTGCAATCAGATACAGTGCAAGATGTCTTTCAACCTGCAACTGCGGTCAGCTTGCTTACAAACACAACCCTATAGACCTGTTGAAGCGTTCTCGTGCCAACTCTCAAGAAGAGATCATGCACGTCGGGGAGAACAGATGACCCTAACCCAGCAAGAAAACGAGTGTGCTCCTGATGTTACAAGCTTGTCAGTGTGCAAGAGTGTGCAAGGGATCGATCCTTTACCTCCGTTGACCAGAAGTTGTCGTAAGATTGTGTGGATGGACCCACAAGTTGCTGAATGAGCAGAGTCTGCGCAGAGAAGCGGATTATTATATCCAAGTAGAACAGCGCATGCGCACAACAAACCTGTGGCAACAATGATGTTTGCCCGCCAAACGGGTTGTGTAGGACAGGCTGGACGAAACAGACAAGTCAGAGTCACAAAGTTGCATGGATGTTTCAGCCGACCGTTTGTAAGTTCAGTTGTGACAGAGCTGCTGCTGCTGTTAATCCGGTAGAACTTGGAAAAGCTGAAACAAGAACATCAACTCATCCCGGTGCCTCAAATTCCCCTCTCATCCAACATCTTGAAACAGATATCTCATCTTCCTCTCATCTTCCTCTCCTCCCTCTCCTCCCTCTTCCCCTGCTTTCTGTCACCCTCCCTCTTCGTTCTTTGCCTCTCAGCGCTTTGCGCTCTTTCCGCCAACAATATGTTTCGCACCTGTTGAAGTACGCTGCTCCGTTGAAGTTGAACCGGACGAGCTTGGCTGACCGGACACTGCAACTCATGTGAGCGAAGACAGATTGATTTTTTTCACCCCAGAGACGAGCAAGTGGAAGACATTCAGAGGATGAAAGGAGGATGAAGGAGCCAGCAAATCACATGAGGAGGAAATCGAACGATTCATGCTATGGAAGCAGACTGCAGCCGTCCAGGAAGGTGGAACAAGATCGTTACCTTGAGAGAGCAGCATACTCCAGCTCTCTTTCAACCGTTTTGGGTCTAAATTAGACGTTTTTGATTGCCGAACAGCTCTGAAAACAACCAAAAACGGGGTTTCAGAAACTGGATATATTTGTAAAATGCCACTCCTTCTTTGAGCTGAGCTTAACCTCGACCGAGTTCAACTACAGCAAAGAAGCAGACAAATGAAGGCATCTTCCTCATGGTCTGAACAGAACGTCGAGACAGCACAAACTGAGTAAACAGGCGACAAGAAAGGGGGCTTGACACTGAAAAGCTCAACTGAAACATTCAATTGGGAATTTTGCAGTGAACCTCACCCGATTCTAATGACCACACATTATCATTGCTCCTACGAGACCATTAAGATTTTGATGCGTATTTCGCGGGCAATACAAATGCTGCATCAAACAAGAGGGGTGGAGAAAATAAAACTATGATGCAGGGAAAGGTTGAGCAGGTTCCAAAATGCTCAATTTTCTCCGCCAAATGGTAACGATTACGAGACCATCAGTCTTGAAGTATGATACCATAGTACAAATTCAAACATGGAAGGAAGACATTTTCAATTGGGTATTGGTCAAGCGCACAACAGGGTATCGAATACAGCCTTTCTTACAGCATGCGTCTTGCGCTGAATTGAATGCCGCGCTAACAAAAGTTGGAACAATTGTCTTTTACGTGCATCCAATGTCATGAAACATCACAAACATCTGTATCCGAAAGCAAGAACGCTCGTTTTCCTTTCTCCTCCCCCTCAACTCCCTCACCCCCCCCCTGCCATTCCTCCTCTTCTTCATTCTACTGCCTCCCACTCTCTCCCTCCACACCCCCACCCGCAGCACACCCCCACCCCCCATGAATCATCCCCACCCCTTGAGAGTTGCATCTGACCCCTGGCCATGAGGTCCAGTACCCCTACCATCTCCCCATTGCTGTGACTTCTTTACTACAGAGTACCACTGACCATACTACCCCTACCCCCTTTTGCATCAGCTCATCCACCTCAAAAATAAAAAAACTCATTATTATTAGTGCCACGGCTCCAACCACCATTATCCCCCACCCCCAGTTGGATACCACCCTACCCCCAAATACCCAGCAACATCATTACTAGACTACCACCCGTGGGTATCCGAGCTATCTCGGAGGCGCCGTCACATAGAGAGATCTTCGAGTTCAACCCTACCCCCATCTTGAACTGAAATGGTACCCTACCCTTGTTCCGTTAAGATTCTACCCACCCTACCCCTCCTCTCAATTGTGGAAACTATTTAGAAGGATACCCTACCCCATTTTCAAGTCACTTCAACCCCTACCCTGCCGGGCAAACAAGACGTCCCCAGTTTACATGTATACCCTCTCAAGATATCTTGATTGTGCTTACCACCCCTACCCCTTTCGGCGATATGTATCCCCAATCAATACCTCCTTGGACCACTACCCCACCCATGCCATAAACAGGGAAAAAGAGATGCGAGTACCCCACCCACCCTCAAAAAAAGGAACAAAACAATATGGAAGGAAAAAAGAAGATGACCCTCCCTATCCCAAATCTGTTCCACCCCTTTCCCCCAACCCTCTTTCAATCGTCAACTACCCGTACCAACTCCTATAAAGAACCCTCACTTTCCCCCAGATGTCAGCAGTGATGACAGGACCCTGATGTGCGCTCAAGGTGACTACAACAAAGAAGTCTTTAAATAGAGCGTTTGGTGGAGATGCTTTAAAGAGGGCACTCGAAAAAAGTACTTATCGACACAATTCAGCTCGAATGAGGCGTATCTGCCCAAGACTGCTCACACGGACCGTTACTGTCGGACGGCTCGGTTACTGAGCGCCGCCGCGGCCGGGCGCGCGGCGCCGCGGCACTGCCGCAGGCCCGGCGTTCGGACCCGGTACACTCAGACCGCCCGCCGCTCCCCCCGGGGCCCCGGCACGGGGACTCCGATCCAGTCACCGCACGGTGCCGCTGCGGCCCGGCCACCAGGCCGGGGGCCGGGGGTGTCAGTCACACGGCGGCGGCGGGGTGACTGGCACCCTCAGCGACGGTGGCACTGCCACAGTGGAGCCGGGCTGAGTGCGGCGTTGCCCGCCACCCCGGGCCGCGCCGGTCACCCGGCGTGTCGGACCGCCCGGCCACCGGGTCGGAAGTAACTTCCCGGGGAGCCCCCCCGGCCGCTCCGACGGTTACCGGCGTCCCGACAACACCGCCGGGGCCTGGGCCGGGGCGCGCGCCGGTCGGCAAACTAGCCCGGTTTGAGAGTCGGCCTGACCAACCGTCCGGCCCGTCCGACCGGCCCACTGGAATCCGGCCGCCGCGTGACTCCGTGATGGAACGTATGCCAGCCGTGCCAGTCAGATAGCGCCGAGTTAACAAAAACTCTCCTGTAAACCAAGACGACTTACGTGGCAGGGCGGTATGTAGCGTATGTGACGAAGAGGAGGCCTTCCTAGCCGTCTTGCTAAGGTCCCCTCATGTCTGGATGCTTGGGTTTCACATCCTAGCCGCTACAGTCTATCTCTCATGTGCTCCTCAATTCTGGTTTTGTGTGCATTAAACTCGGTCTTGAGCAAAAACTGTCTTGTTACCAACGAAGGTCGATGTGATATCTGCGTGACTTTGGACTAGTACAAGTCTAACAAACTTGTATTCCGTCACTCCGAGATCACGGTCACGGCTGGTCACCCGGCGCGGCCCGGCCGGGCCCGGGTCCAACTTGGTTGGGATTAAAGTTACATTTCCTGCCAGCGCCGTGCCAACTGCTTCAGTAGATGTGCGGGCATGCGCGGGGCTTTTAGATTGTTGTCAGCATCGTTATGTGCGATTCACGCATGAGTGCAGTGGTGAAACTATGTCATCATCGAAGATCTGAACATGTTTTCAATCTATCATGTGAGAAAACGATACATCCCTCCTGAGCTACTCAGTAGTATGCGACTGGAGTTCATGTATTGTCATAGCAATGTCCTGGTCCATCCGATGCTCACTTCATAACGTGTTTGTTCTGCTTTGGGAAAGTTTTGTGAGGTGCAATTTGGCTACGTGTTCTTGTATCATTTTGTATGGTGACATTGAAATCATAATATCAAAATATTTCATGTTGGGGACCGTTTGGATTTGCATGCAGCTTCATTCTGTTTGTTTTGGTCAACCCTGTTTGAAACGTATGTCTCAAACGTCAGCATGCTTTGCACCTTCTCTGCTTCCCTTTTGCCTGATGATGCAACTTGCTACGCATGCGAAGAACCACCGTAAACACCATTGAAACTAAATTTTTCTGTTGTTGATTTAAAAATCTCCGGAAAATACAGTCATGCAGACTCGTGTTTGGCATAACAAGTTACTTGATTGCTAGTATGACAGACTAGGGGGTCAATCTTCAAACAAGGCGTTGCAAGACACTCTTATGAAACTGATTGGTTGACGTTTGACTGCTGCATTCATCAGCGTAGAAAGCATCCTTCAAGTAAACATCTGACACAAACGTCTGACACAAACACCAATCTTCCCACTACTCTCGATATGGCGAATCACAGCACTTTAAGTAGTACAACCGATGCCACATCAACACATCTGCAGTGTTCTAAAGTCAAATCTCCAGCCATGCCGGTTGGTCCCGCGAAGGATATTAGGCCGTCAGAAACAGAGTAACACAAGAAAGACGCGATCTCATGTGAATTTTCCCTGAACTTTGCAGTTTCCAAAGACATGAAGGGATTGGGGAATACCATATCACCTACTGTCAATCCTGAATTTACACGCCCCAGACCAGTTTGAATGTATCATCGTTATGAAGTTGTCTCCTCACGTAGGATTATATACATGCTAGCATGAAAGATTGGGTTGTCTTGAACATCATGTTGAGCTTACGCTATCTTACTCAAATGTTCTTATATACACAGCCTGGTGGTGATAGAGGAGTTGCAGTAGCTTCACCTTCAGAAAAGGTGGCAGGGCTAAAATCTATTTCTCCTTGTTGACGCTTACAGACGAGACCCAGCCACATGGACAAGTGACTTGAACTCGTTCAACTGCATCTCGAAGCTGGTTAAACTCGACGCCTCTCAATAATCATAGCCATGCGCTTTCTATGGGATCACTTCACAATATCTGTATGAAGCGATCCTTCATTTTCACTTGCATTAGCCCAAGGTGCGATCAGATGAGATACATCAAGGTTTGTGTCCAGGATGAAGCAACTCATCCAATGATATCAGTAGTACATGACTTCGTTGAGGTCCAACCCCACTTTCAACTTGCCAGCCTCAACAATGACATCATGATGATTTACACTAGTCTTGTAACAGTCAGTAGCAGTCAGTGACTCTGGACTGGCAGGCTGGGAATGGTTTGAAGGCGTTTCAGAGCAAGTGACTACCATTGATTGCGAATCAACTTAGTCACCATCGACAAGTCCTACTTAGTCTTAACGTGTGGGTACCTTTTACAATCAAAAACACTATATCAAAACTTCACTTTCACTGTACAGAGATCGGATGCCGGGGAAAAACTTCAAGTTGTCGGACAAAGACAAACTTGTCTTGAAACGCAAATGCGATCACATGTAGTACTCATATCCTTGGATGAGCTGCTTCATCCTTCTTCTGTACCTCTTGCAGTGCAAGTGATCTTCTTTGCAGACACTCTTGGTGCAGCAGCAGTTCCTGATAACAACACCAGAAATCAGCGAGGATTGCACTGAGTGGACTGGATAGACTGACCTGCGACACAGCGGGCACTTCCATTCGCACTTGTCGGCTTCCTGCTGAGAGCGGAAAGAGAGAGGAGAGTTCAGATGATTCTTGCAGCATTTGTCACAGAACATCTGCAAGACAACTCGATCAGCACAACACATCTGCACACACAACCTTCACGTGTCTGACCTGATCGCACTTTGGGTTCGTGCAAGTGAAGATTGAGCATCGCTTCGGCGCGTGCTCACAGAAGTGACAGTTCTTGTTCTTAAGCTCCACGGGCTCACCAGCAGCCTTGGCACCATCCGTTTCATACTTCCTCTTCCTGCGCCGTCGGATTGCTCCTTCCCCTCCCCACTCCTCCGCCAAGTCTCCTTCTCCCTGGCTCGAGCTGTTCGCCTCCTCCTTGAGTGGCTCCTCAAACACTTCCCTGGCGTTGCTGTCTGCTGGGAGGGACGTCTTGGCGATCTCGATGACGCCCATGGGAGGCCTGCTGGGATCTGTGCTGGGATGGTGCTGGAGATGAAGCACCTGACAACGACGGGGTGAGGACAGCGGGGGGATGTTGGTGAGATGTACCTCGCTGCAGTTGAAGCCATGATCGATGTGGCAGTGGTAAGAGTTGCTCCAGTGAATGATGATCTCGCCTTGCTGCACGATTGTCTTGTGGAACGGAATCTCAAACCGGCGGAGAACCTGCGAGAGGAGGAGGGTGAGGGATCTTGACACGTGTAGGAGATGAAGAGAGTTGGAGGGGAAGAAAGAAAACGATAACAGGAAGGAGTGAAGCAGCATGGGAGGGAGGGAGGCAGGTAGGGAGGGAGGTATGGATGGAGGAAGGGAGTAGGAGAGAGAAAAGGCAAGGACCAAGGCTGTTCCATCACACAGACGTACCACAGGGTCGATCAAACAGTCCCGGGAGATGGAAGAGAAAGGGCTCTGAGAAGACCCGAATGATGTTCTGCGAAATCAAATCAGCTTCGAGGTTTAGAGGAAGTCTGATACGCACTTGTTGATTTCTTGCGGGAGATTGTCTAACTTCTCCTTGTAGGCAGGTGGAACGACGTAGACCGTCTTGCTGGCTCCAAAGTGCAACAACAAGAGCGACTTGCTCTGATCAGATGAACATGTCCAACCTTCGGCCTGAAAGGATGACGAATGAGAAATGTGAACCAAAGACCCTGTCACATCAAGAGAAATTTCTTACAGCTCGGCTCATTCCCAAGGAGACCGAGTGGTGTTGTGCTTGACTTAGTTTCCCTCCAAGAAAGTTCCTTCCTCCTTCATCGAGCAGCGAGAAATCTTCATGGTGGGCGGTCTCAACCTCCTGCCCTATCGCCCCGACGTCCCTCCAGAATTCGATCTCGAGAGTCTTTCCATCCTCCCGCCACTCCTCATACTCCTCGCTCTTCTGCACGAGGGAGGACTTGACGGTTGGAAAATCGCTAGTCTGCTGCTCTTGGCGCTTGATGGAGTACCAACCACACTCATGGTCGTCAAGGTAGACTCTGGACTGTCGACAGAACTTCCAACTGTCAAGCTTCGTTGCTCTGTGCTTGCTATTCTGCTCCAGCCAGCCAGTAGGAGGCACGATCTTGACAGCTCCATGAAACCTGCCCACAGCGTCGATCGATTTCAAAAATTCAGGAAGGTTGTTGAGTTCGGTGAACGAAGGCTTCAAGATTGGAACTTCAGTGACAGCAGGGACATGTAACATTGAGACATGCGCGTGATTTGCCTTCTTGATCACATTGACGTGCTCATGCTGCTCCTGCTCCTGCTGGTAGATGTTGTTGCTCGGTCTTGTAACGTTCTTCGAGCTGCTTGCTGCAGTGGGGGTCCATTGTTCAGAATACAGTCTGTTCATGTTGCAGAGGCTGTAGAGAGAGGGCTCGTCTTCGAAATGCTCTTCCTCCGCCTGATTGAACTTCTCCCATCCCATCGTTGCGAGCGATGATGGACGCAGGACCAGAGAAGTCAGCGAGCTCAACGTCTCCTTGATCTCTTCGTCCGAGTGAGGCTCGTCGCAGAAGAGCTCGATGCCGAACTGACGTGATTTCGCATCATCCTGGTCCTCGATGTCTCGTTGAAACACGTCGTCCTCTTGCTGACTGTTGTCAAACTCGTAGTCGTATCGACAGACCTGCTCCAGCCCGTTCGACCAAGACTGTAGAAATTGCATTCCCGAAAGCGATTCTAATCTTTCGTACTCAATGTCAAGGTCCTTGTTAGGATTTTTCAAACGTGACATTCAAGGTCTTGCTAGGGTGAAGGGCGAATACAAGGAAAGAGGAGCTGATGAAACTACCGACTCGTACAAAGACAAGTTGACGAGTGAGATTAGATTGATGGCAGCTGCTTTGTACCAAGGGGGGAGAGACTCGGCGACAAGAAGACAAGCAAACAAAGGAAGACGTGGAAGGAAGCGAGGAGGAAGGAAGCGAGGAGGAAGGAAGCGAGGAGGAAGGAAGCAAGGAGGTGGTGGTGGTAGGGGCGGGCAGGAACAAGGGGCAGCACGAGGAGCGAACCCTCGTAAGAGTGGGGAAGAAGATTCTCATGATTATCGTAGGGGTACAAGATGGGGAACGAGGAGGTAGGGGTACTTGGGGAGCAAACAGTGTCAGGTCACGTAGTAAAACAATTGAAATCGAATCGATGTATTTTTGATAGACAGACCAATTGCAGTGACTGGCTAGAATACTCTAGAGATGAGGCTTCACAACGTTTCGAGGAACAATGGGGGTTAGAACGTCAGCAAATCTCCTGAAAGAGAGTCTTTTCACGAATATCTTCCAGCGGAACATGAGTGGTCTTGGCCCTCTCACGGCTGCTGAGGTGTGTAAGGCAGACACATTTGACAGGGGGTAGGGTCATACCACCTACCCTACTTTTTACCTCTTCTAATTATGTCATTATGGGGTAGTAGGGGTAGACAGCCCTCCCAACAGTCAAACACTGTCACAATCGGTTTCGGCGCAGTCGCAATACCACCCCCTAAAATCCCAGTCTTAGTACCCCCCCCAGGAAGTTCCCTGGCTCCTTGCTTCGATCGACAGGCACAGCAATATGCCGGATGATGTCCTGCGAATCTATTTATATAATTCCCTTCCCATCTCACATTTCTGATTTGTTTTACTCAAGTGGACAGAAGCAACGGAAGGTAGCTAAATGTGAGCCTGCCTCAGGTACCACATTATGAAAAAAT